CCTGATGCACCCCTTCACTGATATTAAACCACGCAGCCTTCCCTTGGTGTTTGCGCAACTGCCTCCAGATCCAGGTACAGGCTCTGCATGAGCACAGGGAAATGTTCTGGAATTCCCATTCTTCTCAAGGCCGTCCATAGTTTTATTATGAGCCAGACGGTCAAATACCTTTGTATGGTCTGTAAAACACAAACATCCTTCAGGTATTCTTTACTTCCAGCCAAGATCCATCTGACATCAGGATGACAGCCAATGTTTCATTTCCTCTTCTGAATCTAGCCTGAACCTCAGTGTACTGCCACAACCACTAGGATGATCTTCAGCAAAATTGTACTTGCATGTGAGGGTAATGGTATTTTTCTATAATGAGCATTCTGTTGGGTCAGCTTTCTTTGTGTACAAATATGAGTACAAATGTGGATCTCTTCCAGTCACCTGACCTACTAGCTGTCTTCTAAATTTCCTGGCAGAGATGAGTGCTTCCAGTGCTTCATCAGATTGTTGAAACATTTCAATTGGTGTTCTGTTAACTCCTGGAGCCTTGCTTGTGTCTAATTCTTTCAGGGAAGCTTGGACTTCTCCCTGCAGGTCCATTGGTTCTTGCTCATATGCTACCTCCTGAAATGGTGGAATGTCAACTCGTTCTTTTTGGTACAGTGACTCTGTGAATTCATTCCATCTTTTTTGATAGTTCCTGCATTCACTCAATATTTGGCCCTTAGAATCTTTCAGTATTGCAACTCAAGGCTTGAATTTTTTCTTGCATTCTTCCAGTTTAAGAAAGGCTGAGTATGTTCTACATGTTGGTATTCTAGCTGCAGGTCATTGTACATTGCATTCTAATGTCTTACATTGTACATTGCATTATAATATCTTACTATGTCTTCTACAGCTGCCTTTTGGAATTGTCTATTCTGCTTTTTGACTTCATCATTTCTTCCATTTGCCTTAGCTACTCTACAGAGTCTCTTCTGACGTCTACTTTGCTCTTTTCTTTCTGTTTTAGAAGAAGTACAGCCATGGTGGATGCTCCTTAGAAGTGAGGCTGGTGAGCCTGCGTCTCACATACTTTGGACATGTTATGAGGAGCTACCAGTCCCTGGAGAAGGACCTCCTACTTAGGAAGGAGTCAAAACGAGGAAGGCCCTCAATGAGATGGAATGACACAGTGGCCGCCACAAAGGGTTCAAACATGACAGTGGTTGTGCGGCTGACCCAGGGCCACCCTGTGTTCACACTGTTGCACACTGGGGTCTCTCAGGCAGAATGACTCGTAGGCACTCCCAACAACACACAGGTACTAGACCGTTTGTTTTGCTTTTTTTCGGTATCTTCATTTAAAGCAGCGGGTTTCAACCTGTGGGTCGTGACACCTTTGGGGGTCGAACGATTCATAACAGTAGCAAAATGACAGTGAAGTCGTAGCAACGAAAATACTGTTATGGTTGGGGGGTCACCACTGAGGAACTGTATGAAAGGGTCGCGGCACAAGGAGGGTTGAGAACCACTGCCTTAAGAGAAAGCATTTCAAGAAAGACATCGGGATGGTGGTAACCTTGTCAGGTAGCAACTGGGAGAGGGGACGTGGGGCTCGTAGGGCGCTGGCTGTGTTGGCTCTTGATCACTGGTACGGATCACTAAAGCTTGTTTATTTTCATCAGCTTGTACCCGGTGGGTTTTCTGGGTCTATGTTATACCTCAACCTAAAGTTTCCCCCCCAAAAAAGAACATACCAGGAAATGAAAGTTCTCATTGAGCCAGCTAGTCATTTATACACATGATACACGTGTGATACCCACGTGATACAAGCATGAAAGCTGGACAGGGACGAGGCTCGCTGAAGAAGAGACGCCTGTGTATCATGATGTGGGTAGAGAAGACCGACCGTATCACGACCGCCAAAAGAATGTGCCAATCTGCCCAGGAGGGAGTCCAGCCAGAGTGTCCCCTAGCAGTGAGGCTGGTGAGACTCCGTCTTCCGTCCTCTGGACATGTTACCAGGAGAGAGTAATCCTTGGAAAGGGACATCATGATTTGTAAATAGAGGGTCAGCAAAAAAAAAGGAGGAAGACCCTCTATGAGATAGATTGACACGGTGGCTTCCACAGTGGGGCTCAAATCTAACCAGTGTGGCGATGGTGTGGGGCTGGTCGTGTTTCCCTCTGTTGTACTGTGGGCCGGGACGGACTGGAGGCCTCCCTGACGGCGACACATTATCCCACAGGGTTTTCTAGCACATTCACCGGAGAAAGGAGACCGAAAGACGACCAGGTGTTCGAAGCTGTGGGCACGACAGACGAGTTAAGTTCGCTTATTGGGTAAGGCCCGGAGGCTGGGGTAGGCGTCTGTAAGTGTGTTGAAGACTGCCGGTCCATGGTGGGCTGGCCTCCGCCTGGAAACACAGGGGCCATCTCCTAGGCTGAAGACCCCTGGCCGGCTGGGGCTTGCGCTGTGGAACCCCGGGGGCAGGACATTGTGTTGGAGATGATCACAGGAGCACAGGGACACTCGAGCAGGGTCTCAGAGCTTCTACCAGAGGAAGCCAGAGCCACCCTGGCTCCTGGGTCATTGGCCAGAATCAGGTTCAGGGTCTCCTGGCTTCGGCGTGGTACAGCTCGCCACCCTCAGCAAGTTGTAGCGGTGCCAACAGACCCTTTCTGCAAGGCTGACTGGCTCACGCAGTGCCCCTTGGCTAAGGGGCCCGGCTATCACAGGCCGACTACAAACTCTGAATCAGCCCCACTGACGTGCCAGCCTGCCCCAGAGTCTGCAGAATAGTATTTTCCTGAAACTCCATTGCTAGCCCTCTGAGTGCCGCCGCGTGCTCCCTGCCAGGGCCTTGGCTGGGGCGGGAGGCGGGGCAGCAGTCGGAGGGAGCTGGAGCCAGGTGCCTGTCCTCTGTCTGGGGCTGTTCGCCTTCCCCACCCTCCGCCTCATGAGAAACTCCACTCAGCCTTCACCATCTCCCTGCCAGCATCACCGCCTCCAGGAAGCCCTCCCTGATGACTAACAGAGGCAGCAACTCTCGTCCTCGCCTTCCAAGCACTGTGCCATCTGCTCAGCCTCTCCCTTCCCTGCTGGCCACCAACTCTGCTGGACAGAGCCGGTCTGCTCTGCTCCCCACTGAGTCACCTGGCCTGGCCAGGGGAGGTGCCCAGAAGTAGTGGCTGAGCCGATGAACGAGAAGAGCAAAAGGCGTTCTGAGAAGGAAATCACCCGATCTGAACAGAAGGTTAATATGTTCTTAATTGTCAGCAAGAACAGTGACATCGCGGCTATTAGGGCAACATTAGCTTCATGGCCTGCCTCCCCAGAGTCTTCCAGCCAGGCCCTGGGCTTGTTACACTAGAGGCCAGTTGCTGTCCCTTCCTCTCCCAGGCTTGCTATGGAGCTGATGGAAGAAAGAGGCCCCCTGTTTGCTGAGGAGCTTCAGAAGGTAAGTGGTGGGGGCCTTTCCGGCTGTCTGTGAAACGGGGCACATGGAGAGGTGCTCCCCCCACAGGTGGGCAGTGGGGGTGCACTTATGAGGGAAGCGTAAGGGGCACGCAGACTCCAGGCAGCGTCTGGAGACAGCTGTGGTCTTTTTAAGTTGGGGCAGGGTAGGGCTACTGGCATTCAATGGGAAGTGCCTAGGGCGGCTGCTGCCCCTCCTACAGCGCACAGGTCACACCCCACTGCAAAGAAGGACTGGCCCTTGGGGTCAGGAGCCAGTGCCGGGGTCGGGGAAGCTGGAGGCAGCCCCCACGACGTGTTAGTCATACAGCTCTGCTCCTGAAGGCGTAGTGATGATGCATTGGGCTGCTAACTACAGGTCTGCAGTTCAAAACCACCAGCTGCTCTGTAGAAGAAAGACAGGGCTTTTTACTCCCGTTAAGAGTTACAGTCTCGGAAACTCACAGAGGCAGTTCTACCCTGTCCAAGAGGTTCGCTGTGAGTTGGCCTGGACTCGATGACGGTGAGTTTGATTTTTGATGTAAAAGCAACAGGCCATACTCTGACCCACAGAGGGAACCTCAGGAACAGCCGCTGGCCACCTTCCCAGCCGCAGCCATGTTGAGGGGCTCAGGTGTTTGGGACCTGGTCCTTGGAGGGTCAGGCCTTGGTGGTCAGCCCTCCCGCCTAGCCCAGACTTGTGCCTATCGGATGCTTCCAGGCCCAAGGAGGTCAGTCCTCCATCCCCGCAGACGCCCTGGAGGTCGGGGTTGGTGTGCACATATTACCGGGGTCAACTGAGGCTCAAACTGGTGACTGGCCCCAATGACCTCGCAGCAGCCAAGACTCAACGGAGCATTCTTCATTTGGACACAGATGCCACTGCCCCACCCCCAGCCCCTGCAGGCAGGGCTAGCCCGGGCGTCCATTGTGTCCTCTCCCTGCCATTCTGTAACATCTCTGTCCGCAGCTGCCAGCCAGCTCTAGAGGCCTGGCCGGGGGTGGAGTTAGAAGCAGGTGCCCTTCTGGGCCCAGGAGCTTGCAGAGTCCTCTCTGCCAGGCCAGATGGGCTGCCCCTGTTCCCACAAACCTGCTACCCCAACTGTGCCTCCTGTTTCTAGCATATTCCTCACCCTCAGCACCCCTCCCTCCCAAGCCCCGCTGACTCCCAGCTCCTGCCCCTCAGTGTGGAGAGCGCCTCCCATTTGGTGAGGAGCCCCGGAGGCACAGTGAGTTGCACGTTGAACTGCTAACTGCAGGGTCAGCAGTTTGAAACCACCAGCCCCACCCGGAGAGAGAAAGACAGGCTTTCTACTCTCGTCAAGAGTTCCTCTCGGAAGCCCACAGGGGCAGCTCTCTTCTGTCACTGTGAATTGGAAGGGACCCGAGGACAGTGGTCCCTTAGCCAACAGCTAACCACAAAATCAAAGCCATCGCTGCCACGTGGATTCCGGCACATGGGGACCCTCCCAGAAGCTGCCCACAGGGTTTCGGAGGCTGCTGGCTTTGACGGAAGTGAACAGCTGCCTCTTTGCAGACCCGCTGTGGGTTGGAACCTCTGGCCCTTGAGCCGCCACACCACCAGGACTCCCCTCTGTTTTGCCCCCAGGTCCAGTGCATGCTGCAGGATGTCGGCTCTGCCCTCGCGACACCCCGATCCTCGGCCAGAGAGGCGCACTTAAGTAACTCTCCAGCCTGCTGTGTGTGTGTGGGGCGGGGGGGGTTTGGGGGATGGAGGTCTTAGTGTCACTCCCAGTCACCCACAGCTGGGCCAGGCAGCCCTGCTCATGGGCTGGGGCGGTAAGGTTGGTGTGCTTGGTTCCCCAGGCAGGGGACACCTCAGGGTGCATGTCCTTGGTGACGCACTCCGGGCCTCATGTGCCTTCTGCCTGCCCCGACTCCTCAGAGCACACGGCATTCCCGGAGGGGGCCGTGCTGGAGCTGGAGCAGTGGATTGACAAGTACGCCAGCCAGCTCCCGCCTCTCACAGCCTTCATCCTGCCGGTGCGTGCCCGCAGCCTCTCCCCAGGGGGGCCCCAGGGCACAGACAGGTGCCCTGTCTGCCTGGCCAACACCCCTCTGTCCTCCAGTCAGGGGGCAAGAGCAGCGCTGTGTTGCACCTCTGCCGGACCGTGTGCCGCCGAGCCGAGAGACGGTAAGGGGCCTTAAGAAGGTGGGCAGGGAGCCTGGTGGGGTGGGGAGAGGACCCAACCCCTCACTGATAGGCCTCCGTCATGCCCCGTCTCTGCCCGCTGAGACCACCATCCCAAACAGAGGTCATTACACACAGCCAGACAAACCAGGGCCAGGGCCTCAGGGCCTTCCGGCCCATTCCAACTCCCAGCAACCCTAGAGGACCGCGGAGACCGGGCCATTGGGTCTGTCTCCAATGCGCTCAGTCCTCATGGAAGCAGAGTCTTTCTTCCCCGGAGCAGCTTCGGGGCCCAAGCCTCTGACCTCCGGCTTAATAGCTGAGCACTTAACCACTGCGACACCACAGCGCCTCAAACAAACCACTGCACGACGTCATTTCACATCACCATCAAGGCCATGAGGAGCCCTGCCCACATGGTCAGCCGTGGGAAGCCACAGCCGATCCTCAGGAGGAAGATGGGGCTCTCTACTCCCGTCCAGTGACAGTCTCGGAAACTCACAGGGCAGGTCTACCCTGTCCTGTAGGGCTGCTCTGAGTGGGCACCCACTGGGATGGCAGGGAGGGGAATGTGGCAGATGAGCGTGAAAAAGGTGGGCATAGGCCCTGGTTACTGTGTGTGTATCTGAGCAATACATTCCTCCACAAGATGCAACGTTCTAAAGGAACCAGGGTGCTGGGTCCCTACGGGAGAGAGAGGATGCTCTCCTTGTTCTGCATGCCCAGATGCCAAGGCTCGGAGGAGCGAGGCAGAGGGGAAACACGGCGAGGGCGGAGGTGGGGGCCCCCGGTCTGCCTGGAAAGAACTAAAGGGTGGTGGGAGGGCCTGAGTTCAGAGGGCGGTGAGCAGAGGCAGAGCCTCCCAGGCCATCCGGAGTAGCCCCACCCTAAGAGCGACAGGGGGCGCCTGTTGGGCTCCCAGCATCCTCTGAGGAGATGGGCTCTGCATTTGGGAAGGACCCCGCTGGCTGCTGGGTAGAGAAAGGCCTAGAGGGGCCCTGCAGGTGGAAGCTGTCAGCAGACCAACCCCAAACGCCCTGACTTGGAGGTGGGGAGAAGAGGGACCTCCAGAAGCTGCTGCCAGGCTTTTGAAGGAAACTCAAAAGGAGTAACTACAACATCAACATTTATACAGAAGGCGTAGGCTTTACCGAGAAGCAGCCATAAAGCTGTGCTCAAAGACGGCAGACGGTGCTGGGCTGGGACGTGCTCTTCACCATCCCGGGAGAGAGATGAGGGGAGGGAGATGGGGTTCTGAGGGGTCATGATGGAGTCAGGGCCTCTGAGGCCAGGTTTGTCTGACCCCAAACCCCAACCTCTCTCCATAGTTGCATATCACAAAGGTGGTGTCCTTTGCCAAAAGGATCCTTTGCTTGTGTGGTGTCCTTTGCTCCCAGAGATCCCAGTCAATGTAAAATGCTTTGGATTGGAAAGAAAATAATGGTGAGGTTTAGAAGCTGTGCAGGTCAGCAGTATTGAGACTAGCAGACAAATGGAGAAGGCCTATTCCCTCCTGGATCGACAGGCCAGCAAGGTGACCATTCCCACGAGAGGGCCACAGTCTTTAGTGAAGAGAGTCCCCCGAGATCCCTAAGGCACCCCCTGCCCAGGAGAAGGCTCAGGAGGCAGGAACTGGGTGGGAAGGATGGATGGAGCAGGAAACGGGGAGGGCATGGGAAGAAGGGGCTACCTTATAGGGATGGCAACCGACATCACGACTTAAAATGGGGATGCACTGTTGAATGGAAGGCCAGTTTGCTCTGTAAACTTTGACCAAAATCACACTAAAAAAATTTTTAAGTGGGGGGCTGGGGAGAGGATGCAAAGGCCCAACGTGGGGACTGACTGAGCAGGCAGTATCTGGGCACCCAGACAGCTGTCCAGCGGCAGAGTGACAGTGGACAGACGGGATGGCGTGGAAACGGTACACGCCTGGGGGGTGGCTGCAGTTGCAGGGACATTTGGGCCCGGGCCTTTACACTCGGCCGTCTAGAGGGTTCGCACACTGGCTGGGCAGCGCCTGTGAGTTGAGATTGAGGCCGAGAACTGGGAAGTAGGTCTGCTGGGGACTTTTTCTCCCTGTGAAGAGGGAGGCACCAGGTGATGCCTCCGGTCAGGCGCTCGGCTGCTAACCAAATGGCTGGCGGTTGGACCCCACCCAGGGGCACCTCGGAAGAAAGGCCTGGCAGTCTGCTGCTTAGAAACCAGCCCTGGAACCCACTGGGCCGTCCCGCTGACACGCAGGGTGCTGTGTGTTGCCCTCCCTGGAGGTTGCTCTGAGTTGTAACTGAGGAGGCACATCGCACTGACCCCTGGGAATGAAAAGTCACGCACTGCCCCACCCCCTAAGAGGCTCCCTGCCAGGCCACCCACATGACCTGCCTCCAGCAAGGGGTCGGCACCTTGTCGAATTGCTGCTGGTTTTCCATGAGGAATGGCTCAGGGGCAGGTCAGTGGGGGGTGGCTTGGCTCAGGGCTCCATCCCAGGAGATGATATGCCGAGCTCACAGGCCTGACGGTGTGTCTCCGCCCTCCAGCGTGGTGCCCCTTGTCCAGATGGGAGAGACGGATGCCAACGTGGCCAAGTTCCTAAACAGGTACTTCGGTGGGCTTCTGAGACCCTGAGCACGCACGTCCTGTGCGCATGGGGCCACTCGTCCCATGGAGTGGACGTGAGGGGCAGGCTGGGATGTGGCCCGTCAGTCACTGTGTGGCTGTCACGTGCCAGGTAGATGCTGATCCTGACCCAGTGAGGTGCAGACCCAGCCTGCCCGGGGCCTTGCCTTGTGCAGGCCTGTGTGGAAAGGGCCAGCGTCCAGCGGCAGGGACTGAACAGGAAGAGAAGGTGGGAGCTGTGCTCAGGGAGCTGTCCCAGGAAGGGCCCACCTGAGTGTGCTCCGGCCTCTGGCTGAAACACTCCTCCATGGGGACAGGATGGGTCCCAGCGGCTCTGCTCCTTCCCACAGCTTCAGACTGCGCCCACAGCTGTCTCCCAGCAGCCTTTGCAGCCCCATGGTGTGACAGGGCACCGGCTGGGGCCAGTCATCCTGGACCCAGGCCTCACGATGGTGGGATCCAGGGCTTTCATGCCCCAAGCCCAAGGGCTTCCAACCCACACTCCAGTTCTCTTTGAAGATTAGAAACCAGCCCAGGGCGTGGACACCGGCACCTGCCCTGCGAGGCTACGGTGGGGGCAGGGCTGGGGGGTGGACCTCAGCTAACTCAGAAACTTCCAGCGCCATCTATCCAGCCCATCCGTTCATCTCACCTCCGTCATTTGTACTCTGTTGGCTCGGATCCTCTCACCTCCGTCATTTGTACTCTGTTGGCTCGGATCCTCTCTCAGCGGTGCCTCTGCCTCTCTCCCCTGCAGACTCAGTGACTACCTCTTCACCTTAGCCAGATACGCCGCCCTCCAGGAGGGGATCCAGGAAAAGATATACCAGAAGCCCTGAGTGGAGCACGGCCGAGCGCTGGAGATGGTGGAGCCAAGAGGCGGGGCCAGGGATGGCCCTCCACTGTCCGGGCTCTGAAGCTCACCCCTAGGGACCTGCACCCTGGCCTCTGTCTAGACTCCACTGTGGTCCACAGCCCAGGCCACGTGGACTGTTCCCAAATCCCGCCCTGCTGCAGGCTCTCCTCGGCCTCAGGGACGGAGGGATGCATTCTGAGTTGGGGGCATGGAAGGGAAGGTGACAAGGTGATGGCTGGGATGAGAAGGAGCCTTGTGGGAAAAAGGAATAAAAGTGGAAAAGCCTGAGCGTGTGTGTGTGTGTGTGTGTGTGTGTGTGTGTGTGTGTGTGTGTGTGTGTGAGAGAGCTTGAATGACTATGTCCTCAGGTTGTTCAAGGATGCGTACCGCTCCCAGAGGCCCTCGGAAATGTAATTGTGATTTACCTGTGTCCGAGGGGCTGTCGCTGTCACATTTATAAAGGAGAAGGCAGCCAGGCTTTGGGAGTAGAGTCACCTCTGAGCCACCCATCACTGCCCGAGAGTGCGGCGAAGGCTGGCGGCAGATTTACAGGCCAGGCCTCAGCATCACCCGCCTGGCTGGGGCTGAAGGGCTTGGGGAGGGCGGGGCGGTGGAGAACAAGCTCCAAAGAGGACAGAGACCCCCTGGCGAGAGAGACACCAGCCCTCCAGGAGGGCATGCCCTGCCCCTGCCAGTCAGATGGTGGCCTGAGGCCAAGGGGGC